AGCCTGGCACCGCTGTGGGAGCTCTCCAGGGCACATCCCTCTCTTCCTGCCTTTCTCCTGCAGATGGTTTGCGAATTCACCAGGTGCATTTGGAGGGAAGAGACCATTGCCGTGGGCGCTGGGGGCACGGCAAACTCTGCCCTCTCCAATGCCGAAACCAGTGCTGCCCTGCTGGATTTGCTTGTGGAGAATGGTGTCTCCAATGCCAAGAAAGTAAGCAGCCCGTGACCAGGGCTCCAGCCCTGCAGGGATGGGGTGGCCCCTCACGCCGGCTCCGCTGGGCCCCCTCAGCCTTTGAGGCCAGCGGAGAGTGGTGGGAAGGGAAGCACTTGTCGGGGGAAGCCGGGCAAGTTGCTGGCTCGGGCAGCTCTCCAACTCTCCCCCGTGCCCCCTCCAGGTGCCAGCCTTGGTCAGGTACATCCACCGGTGGCTCACGGCCAATGCGTCTGCTGAGCGCAGACTAGACAAGGCTCTGTTGGCGCTGGTCGAGGCACACCCCGTGGATGTGGTGGTGACTGTGCTGCGCTCTGCCCCATCCTGTGACAGGTATGGGGCCCCCCTGCCTCCAGGGCTCACCAGCCCATCCCCCTGTAGGGCCCGTCCCAGGTGTCTGTCAGGCCGAGAGTTCCAGGAGCCTCTGGCTCTTGTTTCCCAGCCCTGGCATGCCAGCCGCGCATCCTGCTCCCGTGTGCCCTCCTTGCTCCTCACGGTGCTGTGGCTCTGTCAGCTGGGAGCGGGACCTGCCCAGGCCATGGCACCGTGACTGAGAGCCCGCTGACACAGAGCTTTGACCCCGCAGAGCTGCTGTGACCATGTGGAGGACAATCATCTCCTCAAGAAGTACTGCAGAGCCGGTGCTGCAGATACTTGCCCTTGTCCTGGGAAGCTGGCCAGCCTGCAGCATGTGCACCTCGGATGGGGATGAAACAGAAGTCTTTGCCCTGGCTGTGAGTTTCTGGAACCGGCCTTTGCTCACCCTCACCTCTCCTCCCCGGCAGCTCTTCCTCCTTCCCCCAGCACTGTATCTCCCTGCCTTAGGCACTGGGCTGGCAAGCTGGCTTAGGGGCAGGTTCAGGGGCATCAGGCCGGGTGCTCCTCCTGCGTCTCCCCTGGCCTCTCCCTGCCGCGTTCGGGCCCTGCCACGTGGATGTCTGGGCACTGAGCGCTGTCTCTGGCTGGTTTACTTTTCACAGGCAACCTTGGCACTCTGGAAGATCCTCCATCTGCTGCGCTGCACGCGTGCAGTGAGGGGGTGTTTCCCCAACCTCTTTGTGCATCTGCTCTTCCAAGTGTTCTTCAGCACAGTGCAGATGCTGGAAGAGGTTGACCCCTTGTGGAGGGAATGCCGGAAGCAACACAGCCTTCCCACCAACCCCAACAGGTGCTCCGTCCCAGTCCTCCTGTCCCTCCCACACCTTTGGGGCTGGCCAGGGCTCCCAGCATGACCTGGCCTTTGCTCTGCACACAGGTTTGCAGTGCTGACCATCAAAGCCCTGCTGCACCATCTGCGCTGTGAGAGCGTATTGGTGGCCATGGAACGCAAGCATGGCTGGGACACGCTGCTCAACGCTGACACCCACCACTACGCGGTGGGTCTGCTGGCCAGGTGAGACCCCCTTGTTTCCCTGTCATTTCTGCCCTCTGCACGGGGCACCCCAACAGTGCCCGTGGTCGTGGGCCAGAGGGCCTTGTCACTGAGGGATGGCCGAGCAGAGTGGCAAAGGCTGGGAGAGGCGGGTGCACAGGAGGAGCCGCCTGCCAGAGTGCCCTCGTCCCCTGCCGGGGTGCTGGGGAAAGACCAGGCCTCTGGGAGTGAGTGGCGGGAGAGGCTTGCCCAGCCAGCTCGGGCTCGACCGTGCCGTTTTCCCCCTGCCAGGGAGATGGCTTCTGCCTGCACAGCCTGGTGTTGCAGCATCGTATGCTGCCTCCTGGAGCTGCTCAGTGAAGAGATGTGTCCCTGGGAGCTCCCTGCCATGGCGTTCCTTGTGGAGGTGAGCCTGATGGCGAGCGCTGCCTGGCCGAGCTGCCTCCACCTCTCTGGCCTTGTGCAGCCGC